ATAAGGAATGGTTGCAGTTGGGAGCTGGAAGGGACATCCTTGATGGGCTAATAAACTCCTTTTTTCCTTTAAACTTTTTATGAATTATGAATAAATCTCTCCTAGCCTGAAGTTGAATTACAATGTGTAATCAACTTCAGAAAGGGTTTATTAATGATTGATATGTGTATAATTTTTTCAGTATTTTTGTTATAATCCTTGTACCATTATTCATTTTTAAATAATCTAAAAGTTAAACATTACAATAATATATTTTTTTATAAGCTATGTCCTTATAGTTTATACATTTGTATTATTTTTTAGTCAAAAGGAGTTTTGACATCATGTAATTGGTGTGGATTAATGACTATAACCTTCTTAAAAGGTTAGGAAATTATATGAACCATATAAAAAGCATGTTAAATAGAGTAGATTATTATTGACTTGTGCGTCTGTTACAATGGGTAATTGGTTATTTAGTTAGCAAGTTTGTCTATTACCACTAACCACTTAGTCAGTTAATTCAGTTTTTTTTAATATTGGGTTTGTGTTTTAAAGAAGAAATAGATATGAGAAAGTACTAAACATATAAAATAAGTTAGCTAGAAAGTAGAATTATTGTATTAGTGTCTACTTGAAATTAGCTCTGTCACCAAATAATAAATAAGATGCCTTCTTTATCATTACATGAATTGTACTTTGTATTCTTCTTCTTTTTTTACCTAATAATAAAAAACAAAGCTGCCCAACAACAGAAACTATTAGAATGATAAGACAATAGCTGTGACACAAAAACCACAAATACCTTTTCCCTGGGTTTTTCTCTTCCCAGTGCAAATAAGCCATCTGGACGCTGTCTAAGATTGAGGTGGAATATACGGTTACTGAAAAGTATGGTTAAGGTATAAGGGTTTGCATGGCCAGCCCGACGACTCTGTCTTACTAGATAAACTCCATCACCATCCTGTTGTTGGAGTAACTGCTCAGCTGTGTCTCTCTCTACATCATGGAACCATGAATATTGGTGTATCAGGTCCTGTAGTAGCAACAAAGATAAACAGGAAATATTTAAAATTTTGCTTTCCAATAATATTATCACTCAGATTTTTATGTTTAGATGGGTTTTACTGTGTAATGTTTCTGTTTGTAAACTTATCTTCAGCTGGAAATTAATATGGTTAGTAAAAAAAAAGTTTGTTTAGAATATGAAGAATATAATAAATGCATCACTGTTATGTTTCATATATACAAAATATTTTATAAAACTTGAACCCAGTGATTTTAATCACTTTGATTTAGAGACACAAGGATAACACAGAGCTATTTACAAAACAATCATTCCAATTATCCCAATTAAACATTTAGTTTCAACTATTATTTAATTAAACCACAATGACTAACTAATACAAAGCTATTAGATATCGTTCCAACTTCACCTTAAATATATAGTGCTACAGATGTTTGTGTGGATATATAGAGGATACTGATAACAATGTACATAATTATTATGAGGTTGTGGCCAAACTTTGTTTGATTTAAGTACTCAGTCATTGGATAACTGGTATAGACATTAGCAGATGTAATTTCTGAACAACTTTCAATAGTCCCCAGTTAGTATATGTTGCACATGTGCATTAAGTATCAAAAGTATCAATATCTCAGACCACCAGTAAATACATTATGTCACATAATAGTGAACATACTTATTTATCTCAAACTTGCTGTGATTAACTGTTTGGCAAAATATAGATACATGTTAGCTTAAAATTGTTAACAGATATAGGTTAGAAATATAACTTGTTTCAAATTAAGGAAATATTTTTGAACATGCTGTATATTTTCAACTTTAGAATACAAGTACAAAATATTATTTATGTGTCAACTTCTTTTTACATAATTAAACTTATGCTTGCAAAGATCCCCATGTAGAATTTTATTTATTGGATTTATGGAGAAGGTGGGATGTCATGCCTGCACATCATTTTCCATGTAGAATTACCAAATACTGCTACAAATATTTTCATATCCAAAAAACCCTGAATATTTCATGGCAATCAAAGTTCAGGAAGTGAGCATTAGTTGGCAGCAGAAAGTGGGGAGATTCAAAGTGGCTGTCAGATTAATAAAAACTGAAGAAACTGATAAAGCATTTTAGAATGGCACTTGAGCATACCCAAGAATTCATGAATGTTTCATGGTTATCAGTAAAAGAAACTGGCAAAACCATAGTAGTATTAAATGAAATATTTGTGAAATGTGCAACTGTCTTTGTTTTTCTCAATTCTGTAACCAAAAAACAAATTGCTTTAGAGAAGGATTTAGCACATTGGAATAATTTATTCAGCATTGAGTTTTTAAATAAAGAACCTTAATTAGGATATCAAAAAATATGTATGAAAAAAGTTGGCTGAAAATGTAAAAATTAACAGTAAGGATTTCATTAAATACATTAAAAGTAAACAAAATGTTAGGATGGGGGTAGGACCCCAAGTGTTAATAAAGGAAGGCTTGTATCTGTTGATCATGAGATGGCTGGGTTATTAAATTTTGTATTTTCTTCATTTTTTACTAACGAAGATTTAAGCAGTATTCCTCATCTTGAACAGTTGATAGATGGAAACAAAACTGAACTAGATGACTGCATTAATTCTGAGTTGGTTAAGAAAAAATTGGGAAGTGTAAAAAATGATATGGCTTCTGGGCCAGGTTATATTTCCCCAAGGGTTTTGAAGGAGGTTAAAGATTGAATATATCAGCCACTTGCTTCAATTTTTGTCAGTCCTTGAATGGTGAGCAGATACCAGAGGATTGGAAGTTAGCTAATGTAATTTCTCTTTTCTAGGGAGGTGATAAACATTCTCCCAGTAATTATAGACCCATTAGTCTTACAACAGTTGTGAGAAACGTTTTGGAAAGCCTGATAAAAGATGCTTTGCAAAGTCATTTAACAAAGTTTAGAATTTTATTGGATAGTCAAAATGGTTTCACAAACGAAAAATTTTGCCTCACAAATCTTTTGACATTCTTTGAAAAGGTCAATGGTCGTGTAGATGAGGGTAAGAGTGGATTTGTTGTATCTGGATTTTCATAAAGCATTTGACAAGGTGCCACATAAAAGGCTTGTAAAGAAAATTATCTCTATAGGTGTGGGGGATAAGTTAGCAAATTAGATAGAAAAGTGGCTGGATGGAAGAAAGCAAAGGGTTGTTACAAATGGAGTTCAGTCAAACAGGATTAATGTCACAAGTGGGATACCACAAAGCTCAGTCTTAGGACCTTTGCTCTTTTTGATTTACATCAATGACAAAAATGGAAGAATGGTCAATAAATTACTTAAATTTGCAGATGATATTAATGTCTTGGCTGTTGCTAGCTGTGAAGAGGATACTGCTGATTTACAAAAGGATTTAGATCATTTAGTGAGTTGGGTTTTAATTATAATAAATGCAAGATAATATATGTGGGTTATCATAATTTGAATTATAAGTATAATTTTGATTGGAATAACCTTAACAGTGTTAGAAAGAAAGGGATCTTGGTGATAAGTTGATTAGTCTCTAAAGCCATTCAAGCAGTGTTAGTGGTAGAGCAAATAGGATTTTATGTTGTTCTACAGAAATATTGAATACAAGTCTAAGTAAGTTATAATTTCATTGGATAGGTCACTGGTTAGTCCACATTTGCAATATTGTGTTCAGTCTTGGGCTCCTTAGGAAAGACATTGAATTGTTGCAATTCAGAGTAGGATTACTAGAATGGTGCCTTGGATAGAGGGGTTGTCATATGAGGGGTTGAAATCTCTAAAATTGTTTTCACTTGAAGAAAGAAGAGTTTGGGGGGGGGGTCTGATTGAGGTGTTCAAGATTGTAGAGAATTAATAGTGTTGACATATCATTTTTCATACTTAACATTGAAAATAATAGGACTAGGGGATACAAGTACACATTTTGGCAGGGTAAGAGTCATCTTCAGCCGAGACAATTTTATTTTTCTAACAGTGTGGTTGGCCTTTGGAATGGGTTGCCTTCTGATGTTATGGAGGCAGTAAATATAAGAGAAAGCTTGATAAGTAAATGAATGATAAGGACTGGCTTTAAGATTTTTTGTCAATTTATTTAATAATATTTTTGTTTAGTTTAGAGAATGGAACAGCAAAGATGGACCAATAGGTCTCATGTTGTCCCAAGATGTTATGTTATGTTAACTTGTGATCAGTACAATTTTTTTATAACTTTTCATTCTTTTAATTTTTATCTAGAAATATTAGCTGAGTCATTAGTGTGGTTATAATGTTTGTTATTGATTTCATATTAGTTTAGAATATAACTTTCTGAGGCAGGTCAAGAACTTGTATAAATTTAAAGCAGTTTCTAAATCTTGTAACCTTCTTTCTATGGAATTCTAGTGTATATTGACACGGCATCCAAAATGCAAAGAAGGCTGTTGCAGTGGCCTTTCTAGGATTTTTGAATTTTGGGGACAGAAAGTGGGTCAAGCATTATGAAATACAAAATAAATAGGCTTTTTTGCCTTTAAGAAGTGTTTGTTTATTCTTTTTAGTTATCATAAAAGGCTAAAATTATCTTCACTATCTTTTTACACAGCTTCATGGCAATCTGATTCTGTTTCAAACTACCAGCAAAACCTATACCCTTAGGTCTCACCTGATTGGAGATACCTTTTGGTTCAAGTTATGTAGTACGAGTACCCTGCCCATAAAAAAAAAATTAACATTTTCATGTCAGTGGGAATCACAATGTAGGAAGAATTTAAAATCTTAAAACACTGTATCTTGATATCTTGGATAAGTGGCAGAGAGCTTTTCAATGTGGGTCTGCCCCATGTCATCCAGATGGACATGCCCCCAGGCTGTTGGGATGCAATAATTTTTTTATAATATATTCTTCAATGTCACACACTGAAGATGTTTTATGTGGTAAGCAATATAATTATATTATACTTACAGAATGATAACATGGACAGTGTGTTTAGATTGCAGACCTCTTTCTGTTGTAGGTGTCTAGGTAGGTGATCAGAATAGTGAGATTTTCTGTTCAAATATTTTTAAATTTGAATTTCCCAAGAGAAATTGTGAAGGTTATAAATAGCTAAATTTGATAAACTCCCAAAATTATCAAACACATCTTTACTACACTGTCTTTCATCCTTAAGTTTTTTTTATCTTTGGTGTTTGTCATGATCAATAACTTTAATAATAAGGTTGAGTTTTATCTCAAAAAGTACTGTTTATGTAATATTAATAACTTCGAAATTAGCTGATTTGTTTTGGTGTTCATGCATCTAAATAGTGGAGATTTATTAAAGCTGTCCAGGAAGTTCATTAGCTTTGAGGAAATGGTGCCAGTTTTTCTCTACTATAATAACATTGTTAAAACTATTTTGTGAAGTCAGGCTTAAATATTTTTGTTTGCTGTAACCCTAAAGTGATTTAAAATATGGGTAGGTAGATAGTAAGGTAAATATATTTTTTTTGATTGGCAAATAAAATTTTGGAAATACCACTAGTTTCATCATCATCTAAAACAATGTGTTAAGACAAGATTCCATTACTATCAACATCTATTCTAGGAAGAGATTTACAGAAATTTCAAATTCTTTCACAACACACATTTGCTGGTTGATATGGCCCTCAATCGACAAAATTGAATTGACTGTTGCAGACAATTTTACGGTTTATTCTTCCCATTTCATCTCATTTACCAAGTAAATCTACAAGTACTTCACTTCCCTCCATGTGAATAAGGTCCCAATCGGATTTAATTTGTTTTGGTCCTGATCCTAAATCTACAAAAACATTTTGCAGAGATGGATATAATGAACAGAATTCCGTTTGCCATGTTGTTGATGTATGCTTGTCAATAGTAAATTCTCCCCTGATAGGTCGTGTATTTAATAGTTTAGCGTGACAGTTCCTAGGGATGAGATAAGCCATGTTGTCAAACCTCAATGCACTGGCCAATCAGCATTGAGCTGTCAATTCGTAATCAGGTGAGGCTCTCCCACAATGTTGCAGATTACATGAACTTTCAAGAAAAAATATTCTAACCATAACATGGTGATAAAAAATTTTAAAGTCAATTAATTTTATTAGATGGGTTGGTATATAATCAGAAATTGGTGAAAATAAAAATTTCATAGGTGATAATATCAAAACAATATTCCAGTAAACCCCAATTTTAAGCTTGGCATGAATTTCTTATTTTATCCATCAATAAGCATGTGTAGCAAGGTTTTTGTTAATTTTCTTCTTTATAATTTTTTGGAAGACATTTTCAGCTTTTACTGTGATTCAATTAGTATCTACTGTTTATACAAAAAGATTGTAGAAAAATTAATTTTGGGAATATCCTATTTTACATTATTGATGTTTTCAGTAACTGACATTACTAAAGAAACTTTTTTAATATTTGATATCACTGTCATCTGCTTTTATCACGATTTGTTTATTTCTTTAATCTGAGAGAAAAGGATATGCCTCTATTTTTTAACAATGTTTGGAAACAAACAGCATTCTCTCCCTTTTTTTTAATATGTGAAGTTTTGGATTTCTTTCCTATTTCAAAATTATAACAACATACGATATGGTGAGTAATGCCTGAAAGAGAAACAGCAATGTCAATGAAAAAGTTAAAACTTTTAGTTGGAAACAGTTTATATCTAAAATTCAGATTATTGGATTGTCAAGAACAAATATTTAAAATCAATAACACTAACCAAATAAAAACAAATTTTAAAAAATGAGAAAAAAAATCTTAGCTTTTGGAAAAGATTGACTAATTACCTTTGTTAAACAACAAAGAGATTTGTGTCATCATAATCTATAATAGAAATTGATACTGCAACAGACAACTAGTGCTATCTAGATTTTACACTTTTTTTTTCCAAGAAAAAGGAGTCTAAACATTTTAAATACTGTCAACCTTTGTGATAATCAATTTGGCTTTTGAATGAGTAATTTTCAACCTTTTCCTTTCTTTGTCAGAAAGAAACAGTTTTATCTTTTTGTACAAATTTCTACCTCTTATTTTTCCCATGTAGGATAAATTTATTAAGTATTGTGTCATTCTTAATTATCTTATCTTTGTATTCCCATAAGTTTTACCTTTTATCATTGTCAAGATAAAATACATATTATAACAACTCATGGTTTCATAAAAATTTTCATGACAATTTTTCTTTTCATTCCTATTTTACTCAGTATGAAGGAAGGTCTATATTACAAAAGGGCTCAAGTTTTTCCTTAACTGTGATTCTCCCGAAAATGAACAGTTTTATCTATCTATCTTCCTTGCTGGCAATTGTAAATACTCTTAAGTCATTTGCAAATTATTTCTAGCATCATTAGATGTTTTTAATCAGTTGTATATCTAGCTTCAAATGCGATAAGAAATTTGTGGGTTTACATTTAAAATTTAGCACAATTTAGTGTAGTAATGCTCAAGACTGTCAGTTTATTATATAAAACTTTTTCACACTGAAATTGATACTAGTACTTGACATTGTAGAGAATGTCTTGATCCTCATAAAGTTATAGTGAGTACTTGAATAAAAAATATCACAGTGAGGTTTATTCAAAAACTCAATACAGAGCAACTTAGCATAATGTAGAATTTTTCCATTTTTTATAATTAAGAATATCAATATATACCAGCAGACATGTTTTTTTTTTAAACAGTAAACAAAATTTTAAAATGTGTCTAACTTCTACTAAGTACGTACAAGTGAAAGTAAAAGAAATCACAAACCTTTTCCTTTTTCGGATCTTCGTATAATTTTGATGTTGCAGGAACAGGAGGAAGTGGTCTATTAGCAACATTTGTTCCTGAAGTATAAAAGACAATAATGACAAGTTCTATTTAAATTTTACTTTGCATATTTGAATTTGTATATCTAAATCAATCAACTTGGAAGAAATGAATGCTTTTTTAAAAATTTAGAATAAGACATTTTTACAAAAATCATATTTTTCAAAACCATTGAACTATCTGTCATTGTTATTAGCATTACATGAATGTCAAGGAAGTACTGTGAAAAGTTTTCATATTTTGTAGACAAAATATTATCTTTTGACTAAAATAACAACTCATCATCCTACCAGGAAATACATTTATAAGTAAGTCAGTTTTGGCTTTAGAAATTAAAATGTTATTTGCCATAACTGAAGGTTAAACTACTTTAAAGCATTTTTCTGGTTGGTATAGTTAAAAAAAATGGTGACAACTATCTAATGAAATTTGGCAAAATGCATGCAGAGTAGTGAAAAAAAATATTTGGAGAGGTTGCTTTGAATGTTTTTCTATAGTATTAAATGATATTCAGATATTAATGAGAATAGGTGCATGTATGAGTAAGCATAAGTAAGTTTAATGCATGCAAGTAGATTTACCATGAAGTTTATACTGAGCTTCATTTACCCATGCTTGGTTAAACCAAGTTTTAAGCTGTTAGTGATTATAATGTTAGCTAGCATTTTGAAATCTAATTTTAAAACTTGTCATAAGTGAACAAAGTTAATTTAAGAATCCAGAATGTGTCTCAGTATTAACTATAAAAATCCATACCAATGTCTTCAAAAGAAACTTGCGGACTGTATTTTGGAAAATTTATTGGAGGGGTTATCTTTTTATCAGGCAATTGGGGTGCATTGTTTATTGGCCCTGTAAGACTTGACATTGGATCTGAAACACGAAATCACATAACATTAACCTAATAACGCCTGTAAAATTGCAATACATTTTTAATTTTGAGCTTGGACAAACCCATTTGTATTAGTATTATTGTAACATTAAAAAACAAAACTTTACTAGTTACATAGCAATACCATTAATAATTTGTCAGTTTTTCATTTTAATACTTTTTTGGAAATAAAACATTTTCACTAACTAGAGCTAAAATATTAATACAATTCTCTGAAATAAATCTTGTTGACATGTTTTGACAAGTGTTCAAAGAAAGAGCAGTTAATACGTTAAAACTATGTATTGTAACATCTTTCATTTAGCTTGAAGCCTAATGGCTCCTAGTTTCAAGTTTATTCATACAAGATCAACTTCCAATTTTTCAATTAAGACTAAGCTTTACATTAGTTAATTTTTTCAAAATCCTGTTTAAGATCTCTTATAAAGAAAATATCAATAAAATGTATAATATTTCTGTGTTCCTATTTCAATTTCTTACTCATGTAACCAATATAACATTATTATTTTAGATTGGATCTTGCAAATGGACTTTTAGAAGCAATCTCTTACCCAGCAATCCTAAAATTCTTAAAATAAAAACTGAATTTGTTTCTAGTCTTTTTTGGATGTCAAGTTGATGTTAATGTTGAATTTGATCTGGTGTAAATAGCTTAGGTAAGATAGCTTTACATTATTCATCCTTAATGTTCTTTCTTAATAAAGTAATCAAAGAGAATTTGTAGGTTCTCTTCTTACTCAATCTCTATGTTTATTACAAGAAAAAAAGGACAGGACATCATCATCAGCATCTACATCTCCAGACAGATGGTAACTTATCTTTTTAGCAAGTATCTTTTATTAATCTTGTTTATTACTAACAAGTACTATGTTTCTAAAATATTTTTATTGCTATTATATGAACTTTCTGTCACTATATTGAACTGAAAGCTTACTCTAGTTTTCTCTCAAAGATTTTGGAAACATTCCTAAATTTATCCTTAAAATTTTTGCTTTTCTGGCTGTAAAATCTGTTTACCTGATTTTTCTGGTGTTGACGCTCGAGATGAGTGGCTGCCTGTTGTGGATGCTGTATCTCCACCACTACTGTTACACTGATCTCGTGCAGGTTTTTTCCCTTCTCGTATACTACGACTGCTCAAAACAGATGACAAGAGACCAGTTATTGCTCCAGTTACACTCTGAGATGAAGAAGCTTGTGACTGATCTTCACTTGCTTTAGAACTGAAGGTTTCTTTACTCCTGGGTAGTTTAGGCCTTTCAACATCAGCTAAGGGATCTTGGTTACTATTAACATGTGGGACTAGTATATCTTGATATTTTCTAGGTTTCTCTGGTAGAGGTGGTGGAGGACCATAAGATAATGCTTGAGAACGAGGAGGTAAAACTGGTCGATCTGAGGAAGATGAGGCGAGTGATGAGGAAGAGCCTGACCATTGATTTTCTGCTATAAAAAATAAAATTTGAAATTATTTCTGTATTTACAGAACTCAGTAAAGTGAGTTATTACATTAATTCATTATATTATGCAATTCTGCTTTTGATGCTGCAAACTCCTTGTGGGATAGTTCAAGAATAGGATTCTTTTTTTTTATCAGTTCTTAGATAAACCAGTTAAATCTGTTTAACTATTAAACTTTTACAGAAATAGGGTAATCTAGAAATCGTCCTATGGTTCAGGTATAGCGATCCCTAACTTTGAATTACTGACCCAAGGGGACAGTCAGTCAGCAACATCTGCTGCCGTGAAGGCTTTGTCAATCTAAAGGAACAGAACAGCAATACTGACTGTCACTTTTATAACACACACACATCATGGGCAGATCCAATATTTACTTGGGGGGGGGGGGTCTGATATATCATTAAACAGATATGACAAAGCCATAATGCTTTAAAATACGTGTTGATAAAGTTGAGTTAAAATGATTGCATATAAAGAATGTTGTCAAACTAACTATTTTTAGATAGAAACAGTTGACATAAAAACAATGCGGTTTGGTCACCCTCATCACTTTCATTGTGGATCCTCCAATGTACACACATACACAGTTGAAAGTGCAGGGTCTGTTCAGTAGAGGTCTAAGCTACTACTGTAATGAATCACTTTATAGAATATACACTTTGATTTAAATTACTAAAATATAATAATAATAAACCATCAGTAAAATCTTCAACCATGTATCTCATAAAGCTGTATATAACAAAATTCATAATTTTCCAGTTGACGTAATCTTGCTGATACTGCAAATCACCATTATTTTGTTCTTAAACATAGTATGAAAACCTGGACAACCATAGTTAAAACTTTAGCAAATTCCTTTTAACAGTTCTTTATTTTGTAAAAGCATGAGTTTAAACCATAAATGTTGTTAATGCAAAATACACACACACACACACACACACACACATACATACATACATACATACCATCACTTTGAAATGTACTTGAATTTTTTACATTGTGAGCAAGAAATCCATAATATGTATACCAGTCAATAACAAATTAAGAATGGGGGGATGAAAAAAGGCCATCTGGTCTATCATTGATAGCTATATTACTCCTAAGCCTTAGAAAACAAAAAATTAACACAAACTAAGTTCAGTGTAAGCTTCTAGATTCTTTTACTTGTTTAAAAACCTTTTCAGGAAAAACAAAATATCAGCATACACTACATCTTCATGCATCTTATTCTACAAGTTGGAAATTAAAATATGATTATTTTTAAAAGCAATTCTGAGTCTTAGTTTACAAGGTTTATACAAAAACATTCACATCCCCATTACCACCATATTAGTCTAAAACTAACGAAGAATTCCAACCAACAAATCCAAATCCTAACAGGTTTTTCAAAAGCCTAAATCATATCTCTTTTTTTTTAGGATGTAGTAAAAATGAGGGCAATTTGATAAATGAAATATAATCTTGATAGATCACAGCTGAGTACTCATACATAATTATAACAATCTTCTTATTCTAACAACTATAACAAAAAAATTATAAACAGCATTTTCAACCTGACCAATGTCATAGAGTTCTGGACATTATTATATTAAATGGACCTAAAAGAGATAATCAAGATAAATTTCTCAAATAGTTCTAGTTTAGGTCTTTTCAAACACTAAGAATTGGCTTACACTAAACTTTGTGACATTAGTAAATTTTTTCAAGTCTATAATATTTTCATCATGTTCAAAAAACCCGACCTTATCTACATACATATATATATGTTTATAATCTTCTTAATCTTAAAACTATTACATACCTGCTACTACTTCATAATTTTCTTCCTCAGCCTGACAGAAAAAAAAAAAAAAAATGGAAGAAAAGAATCATAACTAAAGTGACAAATAAAGCACAACGCAATTTAAATTTCTCCCATTTTCCTAAATTAATTAAAATAACCATTCATGCAAACCAATCTTTTGGTTAAAATATGTGCCTGTTAATATTATCATTGTATTATGAAGCATTACAAGAGCAATACAACATTTATTGTGTTTCATACACAACCACAAGAAAATGTAAAAATCTTGTGTGACACTAATATACTTAATTTAACGCACAACTGTGTGGGGGGCAAGAAACAATATATTTAGCATCTATGTTTATCTTCAATACATGAAAGACACTCACAACTTGAAAATATATACTTTTCAGAATTTTAAAAAGAAATCAAAAAGCAGTCTGAATTATCACTATAAAGCTTTATTGTTCCTAACTATGGTTACTACTACCACTTTCTTGATCTATTTGCATATTTTGAAACACAGCCATATAAACCATAGCAGAATGCCTCAACCAAACATTAATGTTTAATCATTTAGTCATGTAATGTTTTCAGTCATATCATATTCAAAATCATCATTAACTTGCACAAGTTCAATTCTCTATTCAAGTGTGAAAACACTGCAGTGATTTGATACTATTTTAGGTGTGTTTTCTAATAAAAATTTAAAAACTTTCAAATGCATTTTGCAATACTAGTGGGAAATGCAAATGCATTATGTGGTTGCCATATAGCAATGGGTGCAAGTAATGTGTTAGAGGTGACCATATCTTTTGCACAGAGATTTACAATTTGGAACTTTATTTAGAAAATTAAGATCTGTTAGATTCCACAACTAATCTTTTTCTTTACAAAACAGAATGTCAAACAATCTGAACTTTTCCAAAAACTATTTTTGTAATTTATTTTAGATAATGCATTCTAGCACTTGGATACTGTCCCAGAACAATTAAAAATATTATTACAAGTACTTACTTTTTCAATTGCTTCATAAGTATCTGTAACAAAAAAAAAACAGTATACTGAGATTTTTCTTTTCAAGAAATTACACATCCAGTATTGCATATAGTTTATAAATCTACCATCTGCATCAATTTCACTTAATTATTACAGACAGAAACCAGAATTTGCTTTAGTCCTGTCAATTTATACTATTATTTACATTTAATACAAAAGTCATCTTTACTTTGATTGCAGTTCTTTCAGTGACCAATCATTCCTAATAAATAAAAATCACAACACCAATGTTTCAAGTGCACAATAAGTTTATTTGTATATGGTTAAAAGAAAAAAAAAACACATGCTCTACATGTTTCAGTGGACAACATGATCCACCATCTTCAAGAGACCAAGAATGATACACAAGGTTCTTCATGTACTAGATAAACATGCATGTACAATTAGCATATTGTACAGTGACACCACTTAAGAAATAGAATTACAGAAATTCACTTCCATGGCACCTGGACCTAAATCGTTATTCAAACTTATCATTTTGTTTTTAATAATATCACCTGTTTAAGTAACTTCATATGTTCAGGCAAGGCCAAAGTGCTGAAAACAGGTCTTCTGTTTATAAGTTACCTTACAAAAGGCAATGGACTTTTATCAAAATTGCGACATAAAATGAGGGGGAGGGGATTTATTTTCAGATTAAGATTTCTCTGAAGGAGATAAATTAATGAGCACAAAATCTTTAAGACTAAATCATCAGGGGCAATTTTATACTTTGTATTATTTGCCAGATATTGTGATGACAAAACAGCCACTAATTTCTGTATGACTGACTCCCAATTTTAGATCTAGCTAACATTATATTATAATTATTAGCTTCATAGAAAAAACTTGATATTGGAGCCATATTAAGACATAATATCAAAACTGCAACTATTGTAGATCCAAACACACATGTTCAGTCTGGTCAGGGTTTAAACTGTTTGTCACAAGTCTCAACAAATAATCAAAACATGTTTAGGCAGTGTAGACTCAGAATGCATGCCATATTAAACATTGCTCATCAAAAGATATACCAGGAAATCCTTCTTAAAAATATCTATTTGCACAAGGAATAGTAGTTTGTAAAAACCAGATTCTCTGGTCTGTATCATGAATCCATATCTAAATAAATCACACTTTAATTCAACTGTCCTTTTCTCACCCAGATAATTGTCAAACCAGTATGCATGCAGATTGGTTGTGACTAGACCATAAGCCAATGAAACACAGATATAAACTGATAACATTATTATAGCAACACTGATGTAGTTGTCCTATTGCCAATCAATTTATCCAATGGTGACTTTTTATGAAAAACAACCAATCAATATTGCATTTTAATTTATCAGTAGAGTCAGCAACTGGTTCTTATTGATTATAACTCAATACTTTGTCTTATAGTTTCTACAAGAATTTTATCCCACAAATATTATAATAGAATACATGACAATTATGCAAATAAATTCAAATGTAGTTATGAGAATAGTTTTAAGTGCAAATAACATTGATTTCTAAGCCAATGTCAAACACTTTCCATAATTTAAAATTACATTATTCTACAAATATTCATGATCAATAATGAATGGAAGTTGTGTGTGTGCGTGCGTGCATGCATGTCTGTCTGTATGCATAAATACATATTTGTATAGTGTATCAAATGTAAATAAAAGTTGCATTTACTAAGGTCATATATAATATGAAACAAGTATAGTACAAGTTTGTTCACAAAGGCCAACACCTAGCACACCTCTGCCATTCTGAGATATTACCATTCATGTTGACAATGATGGAATTACAAAATTCATGTTCATTAAACCTTTAACTACAGCTTGTTGCTTATGTTATATTCAACATCCTCTTTCTACTGTAATGAAAGATATAATACTTGGATATCTCTATTGAATCAAAAAGATATGCATCGAAATAGAATTATATAAGTTGATGTGAACAAAGAAATTGTGAGTAACTCCAAGACATTTAAAAACATTAATCACATATTTAATCAAGTTTTGGAAGTAGTACAGTAAGTAAGCAACAGAACCACCACAATACTGAAAGGACATTCTGGCATACTTGTCAAACTAGTTCAAAAACTGGGAGTAGCACTTAAATCTATAATTGTTAAGTTTGCTTATAAAAACAAAATGCCCTAAAAAATAAAGTCGTAGATTACAGCCTTGAAAGCAGTTGCAAGATAAAGAACATTATATATGAAGATACTTGTAAGTTATGTTCAGATACATGTACAGGATAGACAAGTCAGCGACTATATGACCATGTACCAGAACAAATAAGTGATATACAAAACTTTAACAAAACCAAAGCAGCTGCAAAGCATAGTGCTATAAAACATGACCTACTAAGAACAGAAAATTTATTATCAAACAAACGTTTTAGCAAATGGTCACAGTTTTTTAGACCGTAAAAGCTAAAGAGCCTATTTTATTCCAGATAAAACAAACTAAAGTTAAAAAATACAAACATCGGCCTATAAGTTAAAAAAATTCTATAAAAGTTATTGAGTTTTGTATTATACCATGATAACATTTACTTTTCATTTACATTTGATACCAAATACATATCTCTAATATTAAAAGGTTAAGATTCAAGGAACTTGTGTATATATTTAAAATATTAATATTCATAAAGGAACAACGTTTTATAATACATAAATAAAATCGGTTTAAATAAAATTTTAATTGTGTGTTATAAAATGTTGTTTGTGTGTGGATTTTAATATTTTACATTATTTATTTATCTATCTACCTATATGTACACACATACATATATGTGTGTGTGTGTGTGTGTGTGTGTGTATATATGTATGTATATCTATAGAGTGAGAGACAGACATACATGGATACATACATATGCACAGTTGCAATATGCAATGTTGTAGTACTTAATTTACTGTAATATTCAGAACATTTGACAATTAGCATGTAAGATCAAATGATTTACCTTCTCTATTTTCGATATCTTGTATTGCCCTGGTATCAGGAGAAAGACGAATGGCTGTGGGCTGAGGCACATAATTTCCTACTGTTGTTTTGATTTGGTCATGAAGAGTTGGTGATTTCTGAAAGAAAGTTGGAGGAGCATTCCCACATATTGGAATTTCGTAATCTTCCTGTGCTTCAACATCAACAATATCAGGAGGACTGGATGTACAGGTAGACAACAGAGGAGGCTGTGGAAAGCAAACAGATTACAAAAGTAACCTGCTTTACTAAGTTATGAAGCAAGTTATGTTTTCAGTACATAGTTATATTCTTTGTTTTTTCAACTAAATATCAAAATAACCGAGAACAAATACATGGTTCTGAATGGTATGAACTATTGTACATATATATGAATCTTAGTTCATTATTGTTTCTTAATAGGCTATTCCCTTGTTATAGACACTACCTTACTCAACAAGTACCTTTACTTGATTATTAGAACCAGAAAAAAATTGAAGGTTAAATACCAGTAGTTTATATATATATATATAAATTTTGTTTAGCTGAAAAAATACAGACTTAAAATTTTAGGGATCTTCTATGTCTAGCAGTAATTTTGAAAATTTTCTTAAAAATATTTAAACTTTCCGATATGAAGAAAATTAACTTTTCTTCTTTAAATCATTTACGTTTTAGTTTTATTGAAATATAATACATAATTTAAAATATTTATCCCTAAAAAGTTTGTGGTTAAAGTTCGTATTTCAAATAATATAATGAAACTTAAAAAAAAGTTGTTTTGGTGTTAATGAAAAGTTTTGCTCAGGGCCATTCCCTTTTCACCTAGAGTTGTATTGTATGAATGTCTTTTAACATGTTCATGACAGTTGGATACTGTGCACTTGGTAGAAACAACAATAAATGTTTTTAAAATTATTTCTTATGACTTTTGTTGACTGAGATCTGATCAATCACATCCAAGTCTGTCAATCACTGAACGAGCTAAGACAATCAAACTAGTTACAGTGAAAAGAACAAAGCATATAACTTTTATAATTCCTTCTGCTTTATAGTTTTTTGTCCTATTTTAATTGGATTCTAAAGTTTTTAAATGCCTTCTCTTTCTGATTGTTGTAACTTCAACAGGAAAATCTCTGTCAGTGTATCCATAATGCAATGAAAACACAAGAAAACATGAATTTTAGACATTTTCCCAATCTATATTGTCTAGTTTAGTGCTAAAAATATGTCTTCTACAGGTAAATTACTTTGCGGAAGGCAACTGACTTTCATCAAACTTTCAACACAAATGGGAGAAAGAACTCATTTTCAAATTAAGGTGAACTGATGAGCACAAAAATTCTATTATTTGATATCTCTAATAGCAATTTTAGTACTTTCTATCATTTGCCAGATATTCTGATCACAAATAAGACACTAATTTTTGTATGAATGACTCCAATTTTAGTTCTAACATAAAATCAGAGAAATCTATACAATCACCCAAATTTAATTATTAGTCTTTTGTTTTCCACTTATTCATTTTGTACCTTGATTAATTCATACATTAAATCATTAAGAAAATAGGTTCACAGCTTGACCAGTCAGTATCAGTTTTAGCTTCATTCAAAATCTAACTTGCATAAGTAGTCTCTCATATAATAAATGTACAATATGACAATATTAAGCCAATCAAAACTCCAAACTGATCTTATGATATTCAACTCCTTTGGAAAAAAAAAAGTTGTGTTTCTTCGGTGATTAAGTGTTACAAAAGGAAAAGTGATCGAAAGCACTTTTAAACTAATTCTCAAAATACGACTAGAACTTATGGTCACCAACTTGTAGAAGGTTTACTATACTACAGTATTTTTCTTATTTGTAACAAAAACTGATCATTATAATTTTTCCATGTATGCCAGTGATTAAAAATCATTCAATCCGATTTTTCAGATGGTTTTGTTTCACAAAAGAACCCAACTGTATTGATTTAGTTGAACCTTTATTAAGGAGTATATATCTTAAGTGAAACACTTACTTTGGAAAGGGGTAGAGGTGGTGGGGGAGGTTCACTAGGTGGTCTTCTGTATGGAGGAGGTCCTCTGTTCAGTACTGACCTCATAGTGGTATTTGTACTGTTCAGAAACAAAAACAATTCATACCTATGTTTTATCCTTGTAGTTTATGTATATCACTGTTCACAAGTTTTTAAGTAATCCTTTTTCTCCTCTTTTTTTAAAGTCAAACATGGTAATTTTCAAGCTTTTGAGTGGAGTTTTATAACTTGCCTTCAGTCACTGGCATTCTTTCTAAAAATTCCATCAAATTATGCTTTAAGTTAAAAACATTTAGAGTCAGAATCAATAAAATATCTGAAACTGTAAAGTTCATTAATTTTTATTAGTATTTTTAAATTTATACATCCCATACTATAGCTCTGGCAAGCATGCAAGTTCACTTATTCTGTGACAATTCAACTCCCAACATTATGTTTAAACATCTGAAGTCAGCAAAATTGTTAGATAGCAAATAAAATTATTATTACTGAACACATAACTTTAAAGCCAACATTAAAAATATTCCATGCAAAATAATTTTATCATGCCTAGTTTCATCCTTTATACGACAAACATTTGAAACAGTTTGGGCAATTTTAAAATCTATACCATTTTGTACAATAAAATTTATTGCATTTCCTTAAGTTTTTATCATCTAGGAAAAGGCAGACAAGAACTGTATGAATTGCAGTAGCAGAAACAAACTCACAGTGATGGCTTTAAGCTTGGAGGTTTAGGAATAGTTGATTTTTCTGGTGGTCTAGGTAACCTTCTTGAAGATATTGATGATAAAGTTGGAGAATTATCTTCACTAAATGATGAAGATGCACAATCTAATAGGATGAAAGTAGTACAGATAATTACCAGATGATTCAAAAGTTCAGTTACTTTTAAATTTTTCTAAAGATCTAATTTGGAACACGCTAAATCTGATTAAGGTTGTGTTAAATTCAGCCTGAGGATTTACATCCTATAGCTGTTCTGGTCAAGGAACTTATTCAAAAGTTCATGGGATAGGTATATTGTGTCCTACTTTACCTTGTGTATATAGAACTGCTTTATGACTATCATATGAAGTAAATATACAGATAGTTCTGGGTTATTGCAATCTTATTTGTGATTGGTCAGTTGTAGATGGAATGTAGATTGTTGGAGTAGTTTGGGTGCTTTCAGGGAGATTGGCCAAGCTCTGCTAATTGCTGTAATTTCATATAAGTTATTATGTGTGACAACCATATGTTACCATAATTATATAACTTTAATTTCAAGTATGTTTTAATTTACTTTACCTTAACTAATATTTTTATTACAAAGGTATTTAAGGTAATATAACAGCATTAAATAAACTGGTACTTTGCTGTGTTCATCAAATTTGTTTCTTTCTTCTCCTCTGCACGTGTTCTCTCATTAATATTGCTTCCAGGCAAACCTATCTTCATGTGTGGTGGTGGTGGTGGTGGGGTAATTACCTGTGTGCCTTTATTTCTCTTAACCAGGAAATTTAACCTAAGTTATACTTGCCATATAGAGCTTAGAAAAATACTAATGAATGTAGTGTTTCCCAGTCCTGCATCAGGACCAGCAGAAAATTAAAATCTAGCTACCTACCAATATCCAAATAATAATGCCTGTTGCACAGGTTGTCATCCTCAACACTGTTTGTGCCAATGGTGAACTTAGGGCACCACCAGTCGAGATGAAAAAAAAAAGAGATGAGTAATAAGATAGTGCAATCAGTACTAGAGCCTTGCCACTGCATGACCAAAAGATGGCCAACACATCCTAGATGTATTGGAATGTATTGTGCATGTGTTACACAGACCAAGCTGTTTGGAAAAATAGTCATCTGTGATTAAGCTGGTACTACTGACTAGCAATCCTTTTGAAATTGTAGAGCTTCTGTTATTGTTACCATGATTTTGGCATGATTCAAAGAAGGTGGAAGTAGTTACGGAGTTTCTGCTGGAGTACTAAATAAGGCTTTGGACTGCTATACCAAGTGATTCAAATACCACTTGAAACAGGCTGGAACTGGCTGGGCTAACAGTTAGGACAGTCATTTGATCTATAAATCAAGGGCTGAATAAGTGTTGTGAACTCTAGCTTCCAAACTACCTAGTGAAAAGATGCAAAATTTCTGCAACATATTTGTATACTTATTGATCACATATGTTGAAATTCACAATGTTTCACAGATAGGGAAGGTGATGTTAGTAGATGTAATGCATGTAGAACATCAACAATTTGAATAATTGGAGATGATTGCTATGAACATATTAACAATTGTAAGTTGAAAGAATACTGTAAATGTTCTTTCACATTTAAGTTTTCTTGTATAATTTTACAAAGTCTTTTTATGTAGTTTTAAAATATGCATTTTAGAACACAAACTATATCAGACACTAGAATGTCACAAACCTACTATAGTTTGTCTAGCTTTACTAGCTAACCTATAAATAGGTTAAAATATTTCATTACTGCTCAGGACAGTAATAGAAGTTTCTTTTTTAAAGCTTTGTAATTTGTACATACTAGATATTATTTTGATGTGCAGGTACTGAACATGCCAACAAATTTTCATTTTAAACTTAAGTTAGTAAATTCTGTTGTGTAGATTACATTATAAACAGTGCAAGTTGTCTAAATGATATACAGTTATTTTTTGGCAATTTTTCCTAGTAAGGTTGGAAAAATTATAAATCACTTGTGTTTCTTTTTTTTTTTTTTTGTCTAGACAATGATGCTTCTGGTTATTCAGAAGCATCCAGCCATGTTTCAGAGCAAACAATCGAATCCTTTCCCAATACAACAATGAACGTAATTGATGATAAATCAGGTGAGTTTTTGTGGTGTTAACAGTTTAGAGGAATAATGACACACAAGTAAGTTAAGATTGTTGGTTTTGATTTAGATATATCTTTTCAGAACTTCCAAACTACTTACACTTCTTTTAAGCATGAAATAACTTTAGCTTTTTACATTATTATTTCTTGCATTTTCTCAGTACGAGTAGTGTAATCCTGCGGGATCATGAGGGAGTGTTAAACCCTCAGTTCGTATGCTGGGGGAACTACCACTTCTACGCTTCAAATGCAAATTATTTTCCATGTTGCTGAATAACTAGAAACAATGAAGACTTCTATTATAATTTGTCCTCTCATCTTCTTTCAATGATAATCTTATATATATATATCTTTTCTATTGTAAATGTAGCTGAAATCCCCCATATTACAAATATATTACCTGATTCCAAACTGTTTTCTCCATGTAATTCAACAGCATTGGTGATTGCTATGTTACAAACAGTTTTGTCTCCATTTATCTGTTTAAAAATTGATACATTAATTAATTGCCATGCATTTTCTAAACATATTTAACAATATCGTTCCTTGACACTTAGAAAAAAAAATTCTTGTTACAAAAATCACTTATCTAATAGGTTTCTCAAAACCAACTTATTTCTTAATAAGTAACACTTGATAACATTTTGTTTTTACACCAAGGAAGATCATTTAAAAGTTAACAACCTTTATTTTTCTGTATAAATCATAATTTTAACAAAACATTTGAACTGGACCATAATTTGTTACAATTTATCTCAATAATTAAAACAAAATTTTAGTTTTTGCATACAGTGTAATATTCAGTGATTGATAATAAGGAAGACTTTTTAACATCTAACATAAATCAACAAAAACATAAATTCTAAAAATCTGATTTATGTAAATAATGAACAATTTCACACCACAAAATGAGAATTTAAACATTTTTTTATGAAGTATTTCAGTGTATGAGCATTTTTAGAATTCGATTACAGTTGAAATAATCTTCATTTTGAAATTTGTCAACACTAAAGATGCATAAAAGCAGTATTCCTACTATTCTTAAATATAAGCAAAATACACTTATGAAAAGTAATAATATTGCATTACCTGTAAATTTTCGTTTGCAGTGAGGTTTTGATTTTGAGGTTACTAAAAAAAATAAAAAAAAAGAAATATATCAGAAAACAGTGATTTATAAGTAATTTACAAGAATTAAACTGATTTCTTAAATGTTGAAATACACACAAAATAGCAC